TCAGCAGGTAAACATCTTGCGGTTGTTCATGTGTGGCAATAGTGATACAACTGCACACTGTTCTCATTCCATGAAACCCAATGAAAACATTCCTGTGTAAGCATGCCTGGAGAGATGTTGCCTGCAATACCTGCGCATCTCACCGTGCAGAATGTCCCATCATACATGCTTCATCCTTCATTCCAAGCTGTGCATATTCAGATAGTCTAGTAATACAGTAATATATAGTAGACTAAATAATAAAGTAGTCTTGATATTGTGGTAATTTAGAGAGCTTTAGTGAGGTGAGATGACAGGAAGAAGTGTTTTTGGACCAAAAGGCTTGTCAGTTTTTGTCAATCAGTTTGGTCATCTTACAGGAATTTATTATTTACATCTAATAATAGTTTGAATTTTAAAATGAATGTATTTGTCTTCAGTAATCTTCTTTTCCTAATATTGATGCAGAGTGCAAGACGTTTGCCCCAGAAGGTTTATTTCAAGGTTTGATCCTTCACCGCTGACAATGGTTGAGATTCTGACAGTCAATTTCAAAACTGCGAGTTTAATGGTAGAATGATTCTGGGCTAAACTTGTTACTCCTTCTGGTGAAACAAAGTGATGTATTAGCATGGCACCCAAAAGCTGCAAATGGAATTGTGGTGTCATTTTACTATAGAAAGAGTAAAGTTAGTTGTCCTGTTTTATAAGAGAAGGTAATTCTTTCAAATTGTTTAATAGTGCGTATCGCCCGCTAGTGTCTGCACAGTGATATTTCATCAGTGGTGCCAATGGGAAAAGTGTGAAGGGAATGCAGATTCCACATCTAGCAACAGTGGACAAAAAGTATCCGTGTTTTGTCAGAACACTCTGTACTGAGTAACAGCTCTTTTCTATTGCTCTTAGCCCCTCATGTCAAGTACATGAAGAAAGATGAGGATGTGCCTTGTTCTATCACAAGCTCCCTTGAACACTTCCCTCAAGAAGAAGGTGGCAGCAAGGAAGAAGCTACTCGTCCTCCACAAAACCCTCCAACCAACCTCACAGTGGTGACTGTTGAGGGCTGCCCAACTTTCGTCATATTGGACTGGGAAAAACCAGACAATGACACTGTTACTGGTCAGTTTGATTTCTTTATTCGTTATATCAGAATGCAATATTTTCAGCTTATTTTTACTTTGAATGACACTGGCTTTATGTTGTATGTGAAATATGACTATCCAAAGGGAGTCTTGTACTCCAGTTCTTTTTTTCCGTGTTACTATCGACTCCAGTGTGGATAAGAAAATGCTGCCAGATTAGGACTGGAGTTTTTCACAGTTGTATCATTGGTGTCCATGATGACACAAAAAGATACTTAAGAGCTGTGACTCTTATCATCTCTTAATTTCTGCCTTCCCTATGTACTATAGGTAACCAAAAACCTACAGCCTCCCTGGTAAGATCTAGTCAAGAAGTTCCAGCAATGTGACAGTGATCTTTATTATGCAGACCCATACACATGACGCAACCATATTTGTCTTGAGGATGATGTTGATCAGTGGCAGGACTTAATGAAAGCTTACATCCGTCCAGTAAGTCAGTAGAACTTTGCCAGCATAGCACCTGCTGTACCCAGCATAAGGACACCACGTCCTATAAGTTAAAAGAATCTGTTTGGCTTGTACATTTCCAAAGGAGGGTTTTTATATTGAGAGTAAATCCTTCCTAGTCATGCATGAGTATGCAGACAGGGAAGCATGCAAGAAGACCGTTCATATTTTTTCTGCCTTCTTGCATATATCCGTAGAAGTATGCCAGAACTGAACAGTGAAATTGTAACATCTGCAAATTATGGTTCTTCTGTATTGTCAGGAAAATGGCTTCCGTTTTTACCAGAGACATTAAATAAAACTTTAATTTGCAAAATCACTAGCTGTGGCCAAACAAATTTTGCTGTATGTTGCATTACAAGTGGGCAGAACATGTACGACTAGGAAATGTGAGGAGTAAGACTTGATCATTATCATTCACTTTAGCATACAAGTCAGATGTTTTCAGATGTTGCTGCATATGCACTTCATGAGAGATTTCAGTGCAGGGGTCTAATTAGGTGACCGTCACAAGCAAGGCCGCTCTCTTCCCCAAATTATTCCTCCTGTGACTTTCTAGAAAGAATTACTAGATTCTGCCTCCATTCTTTCTTGCTCGGTTTTAGGAAAAGAATAAATGCAAACTCAAAGGGACACTGGAAACAAAAATTAGCCTGCACGCTTTTTTTCTAGAAAAGATGATGGAAGAAAGTTGGCTCTGCTGCTAATTTAATATTAAGGGGGAAACAATAGGTTATAGACTGATACAGTACCAACAAGAAAGAAGAATGACTACCTGAGTTAAAGCTTCCATGATGTGCTTCACGGTGGAAGAAATGTGAGCCTGTTCTTAGCCTTAGAATTAGGCTGAGGATAGGCTCTTTGTGAACACTCCCCATCTCGGGCAGTCCTGCAAAGCCTTTCTTATTCAGGGGATACTTTGTTGCTGTTGTCATTTTGTGACAGCCTCCACTGACCAGTCTTTACCTGGATGTGATCAGATTGTCTGCATGTTTTCCTGGGAGCGGAGCTGTTGTTCTTCTTGAACATGTTAATGAGCCCATTGTAGCACAACCATTTGTATTGCAAAAAGAGAAAAACATTTCCACTATAGCTGATAAAGCTGTCAACATGCAGTGTCTAGTGGTGAAAACAAGGCCCTGTTGCCTTCTGATAGTGTTTCTTTTCTTTCTTTTTCAATGCATGTTGTGATCTGTGCAGCAAGCGATATTGTGTTTTTTCTGAGTCTTTAGGTAGAAACCCTCACTCTGTTCAGTTGAAATCAGCATTTGTGATAGTTAACTTTCCCTGAAGTTTATGCCCTCTTTTCTTCAACAAGACTGTTTTTGAAACCCCTACACTGATTCCTGAAAAAAGATGAAAATCATATGCAGAATATGTGAATAATGCTAGTATTGTTTCACTAAGATAAACTGTTCTTTACTATTCCCTCCAAAGGTCTTATATAAAGGCAACAGCTTTCTCCTAAATACTATCTTTATTCTTTTCTTCGATATGTGTAATATAAAATGTTTATAAATTGTAAGACTTAAAGATGCTCTCATTGAGCTAGTCACTCTTCGTCCTCCTAAATTCAAAAAATTACTCATTTAATGACTCATCCAACACCACCTTCTGAATTCAAGAGAAGACATTCAATCACATTTTCTGAAAACAGTGTTTACTTCATATTGGCACCAGTGTGATATTATTTGTTTAGACAGACTTAAATCAAGTTTTCAGTCATCTATTCTTATTTTTGTATTTTTTTCCATGTTTTTTCAGTCTTCTGATTGGGGCATCAGATTTTTCTTTTTAACACCCAGTTTCAGATGGAAAGAACTGAAGAAACAAAAAGCAACGTAATTTTTTGAGCCCTTTTTTTTTTAAAGGCTACTTTGGGTGACTTTTAGCAAATATGTTGCACGGGTATTCATCATATTGGGTATTTTAAAAACAGAATTCTAATGGAAGGGTATGACAAACAACCAAAACAGTGATCAAGAGTGCAAAAAAAGTCAGAGTTTCACAATCAAGGTCTGTATGTTATCTCAATTAGTGTGTATGTTTGTATGTATTTACATGCACATCTCCTACAGCTGGTAGGAGAGAGGATCTGAGTCCAGCAAGCATTCTTTTTTAACACTGAATTCCAGTGGAGGTGATGTGTTATCTTTTCTGTAGACAACAAACGAGTCTGCTTGCATTGAGAACTAAAAAAAAATTATACCACCACCCTGTGATTTGCCAGCTTTTAATTAAAAACTTGAAAGTATCATGGGAAAAAATAGGGGAAAAAATAGAGTTTTCTAGACATGTTGTAACTGTTCATAGGTGAGTCTATTTCTCTTTGGCCTTAATGCGTTATTCCATTGTGCTGTCCATCTAAATGCTTATTGCAGATGTTCTTTGAAAATTTTCTCCTCCTTTGCTAGCTTACAATTAGCAAAGCTACATTTGGTTTTATAGTCAATTTTTAGAAAGAGGAAAGGAGAGGGAATGGGGAGGTTGTGAATTTCTTCATGAAGAAAGGAAATTCAGCAATATATACCCCATGTGTTTTTTAAAAGAGGTAATTAGGAGTGGGGGAGGAGGTTGCCTGCTAGGGACCGTGTCTTGAACAGGGTTATGCTTGCTGGGGGCAGGGGGGAATGAATGTCTTCTGAAATATCTGATGTTATTTCTCTTTTCAAAGCATGGTTTGTGCTTTATGGAATATCCCAGTGAAACAAGAAATCTCCACAAAAGCACAGCCATGGGGGAAAGACGAGGGAAAGAAGGGTCATTGCTTGCTGGCAGTAAAGGTGTAAGTCGGTCTTCACTGAATAGTGGTCAAAATTAGTACCTTGGGGAATTGTTTATTTTCAAATTACTAATTTCACTGTCTACAGCTGAGTGGCTACAGTTTCGGCTGTGGGTTTAGTTGTATCTGAGCAGACACAGGCTGACCTGTACCTTTGTGTGCCAGTTTCAACAAACAGATTCAAATAACTTGAGTGGAAATTCCATTTTCATCTGGTTCCTCCTGGTTCCAGTTGGCAACTATGTTTTTGGAGCAGTTTGTTTCCTCTCTTCAGATGCTAAAACTGCAAATTCTTTGAATGAACTGATACACAGGCATAACCAACTAAAGATACTAGCCGAGTGCTTCTGTGTATGCTCCAATTTCCACTAGATATTACATCTCCCAGTCTGCAGTACTTGCTTCTACTCGTTTAAAGAAAGAAGGCTGATGTAACTACAGAGATGAGAGATAGAGTTAGGACTTCGGGAGAGCATAAAATGCTATGAATTTCCTCCCTTGAGGACTTCACTCGGAACATAACAAGATCACCAATGGTTTCCAACCCACAGGGATGCTCCAGAAATGTTTTGAGTTGATGTCTGGCCTTGATCTTGGAAAGCATCGTGTTTCCTCAATCTCCGTTGTCTTCACAGAGTTCAGGACATCTCAAAACTGATCAGCTTAACTGCCCAATAAATGCTGCTTAAACGATGTCAGTAGATTTTTAAGAGATATAAATAAGGTATTTTACATGCCTCCACTAAATTAGCTGTGAAAGCAGTAACCTTCACCACAGGATCAGTTACAAAGAGCTTTAGGGGCACCATAATTTCCCAGTTGAATTTGAGCCTTTGAATTTGGCCATCTAACTAGCTAGTTCTTACACAGCCAGGAAGACAAACTATACAGCACCTTCTTCCTTGGTTCCCTATGGGGACGCCACACTATAACTTCAAGTTAATGTAGATACACTATGTATGTGGCTCACAAAATAAATCCACTTTGTGTGGAGAATGAGGGATTCACTGAGTTGTTCCATTGCTCCAGTGATACTGTAAGAGTTCACCATATATATTGCATATATTGACTTGACAATTCACGTTCCTGAACGTTTAAAAATTTTTAACCTTGATATTTCAGGGACTTAATACACGTTGTGTTCTAACGGATGAAGGTTAGTGTTTCTTCTGATGAGGCTAGTCTGAAAGAGTACTTTCTCTTTGTGGTGGTGTTGCGCACTGCTGTTGCTTAGGCAGAGCTTTTGGTTTTATTCTCAGTCACCTGGTAAGACTGTTCATAAGAGTAGATAATATTTGTAGAAATTCCGCCTTGGCAAGAGTCTGCTAGTGCCAAGTATTATCTAAGTGGCCATAGTATAACTTAATTTGCATAAATATTGGCTAAATAGGATATGGTTATTATTATATATCATTAAATCATATATTTAAAACTGTAATGTTGATAAATACATTGTTTAAAATTGCAACATTTACTATACCAAAAGGATAACTTAAAAGAATCCTTACCATAACTTCATCTAAAGTTGTGGAAGGGGAAAAATGTAGAATTTTTATAGCATGCAAAATGTGCAGGACTCGCTGATCTTCATTGGAAGGTGTATTAATGTCACCAAAACTTGAAGAATAGATATTTATAAAAATTAGGATATGTGAACTCTCAAGACTTTAAATTCAGATGTCATACATTCTAGAAGTCTTGTTATTTACACAGGCAGATCTTTGGTGGGGAGGAGGGGGTCACTCTTTTCCCTTATTCAGTTCAGCCGATTTGCCAGCAAAACTTCTATTTCGCTTCCAAGGACTTTGAGTAAATAAAAAGGAAAGCTGCATGGTGCAATGCCTATAATAAAACCACTTCTATTTAAGATTTGCTTTAGTTTATAGATACCAACTGTAGTAAATTTCAAACAAAATACCGATGACGTTACACTTTAACATAGCAGCTTTTCCTTCTGGGATGACAGAGTGCTGGATTTAACTACAGTTTGTCATGGATAACGCGTTACAGAATTGTATGTAAATCTAATCATTGTTGTTATTTTTCTTTCATATTCATAGACTAGTTAAAACCAATGCTATAGAAGCATTTAGGAAAGATGCAGCTTAAAGACATTTAATGAAACATAAGCTCATTGATCAATATTTGGGGCCAGTGTTACAAAGTACTATAAAGCAAAGTCTGTGCAGAGTTTCATGTTTTTAATGGCCATTCTATTCAAAGCTGGATTACATAGCAGAAGGAAGCTATATAGCGTGAGAGGAAAAGAAATTAATAAGCCTCGAGAAGACACGTAACTACAACAGAAATGAAGTTAAACAAAGTTATTTGATTGCAAACTGGCAGATTCCTTAATTCGCCACATGTGCACAATCAGAGTTAAATGTTGGGCAGTTTCCTGTGGAAATCTTAAAAAAAAATCGTGTCTTCTTTCAAGCTAATCACACAGTATAAGCTATTTAGAAATTGTACTTTCATCTCTGATACCTCTTTGTTCAGACTGCAGAATACTTAGGCCTATTTGTGTTCAGAATTTTGTGTCTAATCTACCTTTGAGCAGAGGTGAGGTGTTTCCTCTTTTCTGTAATTGAATTGTGAAGAAAGATGAGGGGCTAGGCACTCTGGAATTGTATATCTAAGGAGTTTTCCTAACCATTTTAAAACACTTATATTCAGACTTGTTCATATACAAGGTGTTCATATGACTTCTTAAACAGTAGGAGAGGAAATCAAATGAAAAGAGCGAGAGCAATGGAGAAGATGCCGAAGTGGGAGCTGTTATTTAAACAAGTTTCTCTTTACTGTAATTTTCCAGAGTATGAGGTTGTGTCAACTGAAAATGGAGCAAGTGATGGTGAAAAGGAGCAATCGATTATCACTACAAATCAGACCCATTCCACCGTGGAAAACCTAAAACCTGACACAAGGTAATTAAATAAAAAATTTTCTAAGTTAATCCAACTAACTCAGACTTAAGCTTTAACTCACACTTCAAATGAAAAGATACATATAAAACCAATTTGGTTTTCATCCTATTCTGATAGGAAAAAGGTATGCTTTGTTTTAAGTCAGCAGATAAGACACATCTGAGGAATCTTCAGGAAATTTCCAAGAGTATGTATGGTTTGGACAGATTGCAAAAGTAGCATGTTCTGTCAGAAAGATTAATAGTTAAATGTAAAGAAGCCTGCTGCTTTTTATCAAATCTCTTGAAGAATTTAGCAGATGAAGAACTAAGAGGATTTTGCAGAAGTTGCTGTGAACCCTTATAGAATTCAATAGTCCCTTTCTAGGATATGTTTTTATCCATCCTATACTGTTCTTTTCTTGTGGCAAGGTGGGATTAGGTGGAAGGTGTGTATTTGTCCAATTTGAAAATATATTTTAAATCAAACTCTCTTCATACCAGTTCTCTGATCATTGTTAAAATACTGTACTTGAAGATAAGTAGAAACAATGTGATTCGTAACAACCAGCTTTCTCCAACTAATTTCTTAAGACACCCTATCGACCAAACTACCCTGCAAGGACTAACTGTGGGCATAGTGTTAACCTTCATCAACTTATTTCATTTAGCATGCCTAATTGTTTAGTTCTCAGTTATCAACTACATATAGCCAGTGTTCATAATATTTGTGATCACAAAAATATTATTTAGAAGCTATATCTGAAGAGGCGTTCTCAGTGGAAGTCACGGATATTATAGGTTTCAGATGTCTTTGTCTTTGGTCAAAATTGGTAAAATTTTAGTATAGCTTCTGTTGTATGGGTTCCAGATGTTCAAGTCAAGTAGAGAACTTGCATTAATTTGTTTTCAGGAAAGTTTTTCTTTTTTCTGAGGGCGAATACAGCTAATCTGCTATTTCCACAGTGAGAATGTCTAACAATTCCAGCTACTTTGGATGGATCGGCTTTCTCAGAAAGCTGCACTGATTGATAAATAAAAACATATATTCTAGCAAAGCAAGTAGTTAAGAGTGCAAACTCTGGGCTAAGTTTGTGCAGTTTTCTTCCTGTGGTAGTTTACCCAGCAGGTGTCTGCTGTTTTCTCTCACCTATAATAGTTACTCCTGAGACTGATGCTGATGCTTTTACTTTGAATTCTTGGTTGACCTCTGGAATTGGGGAAAAGAAATATTAACTTGATACATCAGATCAAGACAGTTGTCTCTGGGGTTGAAGGATACTCAGCGGAATAGGCCTAGGCTCCTTGACTATTTACATGGATGGTCATTCAAATACTGCAAATGCAAGTTAAGCCACTGTGACAAGCTTGGCCGTCGTGTTGCACGGTGGAGAGGAAGGATATATTTGTCCTGTAGATGTAGCTTGCTTTCAGTGTCTTGAAGCAGCAAGCAAATTAAACGTGTCCGTGAAATCTAGTTGATTGCGTATGTCTCAGGAAGCTAACCCAAATAAGCATTATCATTGAATTTAAAAAAAAAAAAAATCTCATCAAGAATGCTTTTTTCTGTTTCTACGGTAAGATGCAGAGCAGGGAAGAGAGCACTTGTCCTATGTTTCAGTGTTGCTTACTGATTGCATTAGAAAGTTGGTGAATGTCATGTTGTTTTTTCCTGTAAGACCATCCACTTAGCTTTGGTAACTGCATTTTTCCATTTCAGATAAACGGCCCTTGTTATTACTAATTTTTAGTAATTTTACTACTGTTATTATTAAATGGCAACAGGGCACAAAATTCTGCATTGAGCCTAGCTGAGTTTACAACAGCTCCTAGAAGGAAGGATGAGGAACTGTTGCAGAAAGTGGCAGGGAAGGGTTGTGGAAAAGAAAAGCTGCGTAGTTTTGTGGTACCCAAAAATAACTTCTCTGGGAGACTCCAAAACTCAAAAGGTGGGAATGTATTGCTGTGGATTAAATCAAGAATATCTCTGTTACTTTCTGAAGGCATGTAGCTTGTGGCAGGGTGAACTGCAGCTACATTTTTCTGCTTTGTTAAGAGGCAGTTAGGGTATGTTAGGCTTAGACAGGAGGCTTAGACAGCAAAACAACGGATTTCTGGAGCATCAGCTGCAGGAAAGAAGTAGGTGCTGCTAAACTTGTCAGGCCATTCTATTTGTGTTTTCATTTTTGTTTTAAGTTCTGCTCTGAAATAAATCTGAAAAGTACTGTATTTTATTAATGAGACCCCTTGAGTTACACACTCAAGTTGGTCATGTCACATATGGTGACAGAAATGGGATAGATTGGTTAAGTGTAGAAAGACACAGAAGGAAGGTAAAGCCCTGGATGCTGATGTCCAGATGACCCAAAGGAAAGGCATTTTTACACTACTGTTTGTTAGCTCAGAAGGGAACAAGATGGAGGCAGGCAGACCCAGCAGGAACCATTGGAAAGGACATAAGGCGGGCAGTAGCTATGCAGAAGCAGTAAGATGTTTTGTAACTTTAATTTGGAATGATTCTGCCCATTTTATGATGAGGTTTTGGTTTTAACAACCCTCCACTTGCCCCAAGGGAAAGACAAAGTCTTGCTGGATTCAGGAGGCCATCAACTCCGAATCGAAAACATCTAGTTAGTACAAATTGCAGCTGTACACGTTCCCTGAGTTGCACAGGATGTAAAGGATGTAGAGTCCTTCTCAGAGTGGCTGTGTTCAATTAAACTTAAATGTAGTTTTCCTAATTTCTGGGACCTCTTGAGAGTTTTGGCAAAAGCACAAGAAATTGTTACCGTTTGACAGATGGCATATATCCATAATAAAGGTCTCCTGTCTATCAGGAGCTGGTTGCTCACCAGAATAAAAAATGGACCTGTGGTCACAGCTTACTGAAAATAAGATGGAGAGAGACAATGAAATGCAGCTCAATTAGTTTATTAACAGAGTCCCTGAAATATCTGCAGATTCATGAAATAATACATTAAATATGAGAAGCAGTTTCCATAACTGGCCTTAAAGGAAAGAGCTGTAGAGGAGGTGGAGCTGGAAAAGAAACTTGGAAAAGAAAAAGAAATTCCTGTTGAACGGGACTGACATCTTACAGAAGTACCAGCGGGTATATGGAAAGAGAGAGGCTCAGTAGCAGAAGGTGGATTAGCCAGGGAAGAACCTCTTGGCCCTAAAACAGTTCAGAGAAGCTGACAAGCTGAATTTGAGAGCCTAGTTTTTCCAGCTTTTACTGAAGCTATCGATGATCCCATGCAAATCCCATATGATGCTCTAAAGTTTCAGTGTGTCCAGAGCTGAAGATAGCTCAGGACAGATCTAAACTGGACAGATCTAAACGAAAACTTCCCGAAAACAATAACAATGATTATGGTTATGGTATCTCAGTCTTCATGGGTAAATTTAAAGCAGAAGAATCATTCCTACAGCAGTTCAAGCCTGTGCTTCTCCAGATACACAGTCTTGGGTGAACAGTACATGGCAAAGGTGGTCTGTAGCCCCATTGTCCAAGGTCTTTTGTCCTGTTGAGGTAAATCAGACGGGCTATGTTAGTGCCTGGCCCAGAAGTTATTTGCCCAGATTCTGCAGGGATGAAGCAAGACAAACAGCTCTTCAGTGTGGAAGAGGCAGAAGGAGTAGAAGGCAGAAGCAGGGTGCATCTCTAGCCTGCCAGGTCACGCTGTTTGTTTGCTTCTGTGCTTTAAGTTCTTCTTTGAAATAGACCACATTGCTAAATCTCTGAAAAGCTATGCAGTAAGCCAGACACCTCTCTCCCTTCAAGGTGGCCTTTTGACAGGGTAGCTTTTAAAGGTTAGGAGCTAAGGACAGACTTTGAAGATTTACGACGTTTGGACTGTGTCAAGGAGGCAGAGTCTCAATGAGAGAGTGTGTCTCATGAAAAATTGCACGTGTGACTGCAACTGTCAGTAAGTACAAACAGGGAAGTTAAATGGGATACAAATTTGTCTGACACTTAGAATTATCATGTAGTAGTCTGTGTGTCCGTTTAGCTGTCTGCAAAGTGACTAAATCCAGAGAAAAAAATATATTGGCTGAAAAAGAAAATGTGTTCTGATTTGCAGTAGAATCATCGGGTATTTGGTCTTGACATACTCCTGCAAGATTTAAATCAAGATTCTCCATGTTAACGTGGAAATGAAAATGAACTTTCATAGGCATAGAGGAACTTGTAAGAGCTGCTTATAAACAAATAAAGCTGTGTATTATTATGTAAAATCTTTGGTTTGAGATCTTTTGCAGCCTTTTTAATTGTTACAATTTGCTTCAGTTTGGGATGTAACAGAATTTCAGACTCAATATGTGTATAGTCCTGTATGCTGCTTGATATGAAGTAGTACTTTAGTAATGAAACAGTTGCCTTACTCCTTGTAATAGTGACTTTCTTATCATCTTCTGTTCCTGAACAGAAAATAAATATTGTAATAGGAGAATCATCCTCTAGAAAAAGATGCATCATAACAAGTTACTATTACTTGTCAAAACGTCTAAGCATTTTCAAAATAAAGGCAATTTTTGTATGAAAGATCTTGTTAGTCATAGGAGGGAGAAAAGGGTAGCATGTAATGCAGTTTGAATTGGGCTTTGGATTAGTCGGGAGATGGAAGTATAGAGAAATGAGAGGTTAGATAACTGATCATTGGGAGAGTCAGTGAGAAAGCGCTTGGACCTTTCTATTTGGCATATGCAACGTCCTTAGAGCAGAAGCAGATTTGTATTTTGTTTTTATGCAGTGCTTGGCAAAATAGACCCTTGTCACACTCCAAAGAAGTTCTTTGCCATGTTAGTGTAGTGTAAGTAAATTTTCAGGAAGCCTAGTACAGGGAGAACGTTGTTTAAGCAGAATTTTCAGTATGATCTGAATTAATGCCTTTGAGGATCATGAGAAAAGTGAATTTTTAAGAGAGATTTTATCAGGAAAGACTAAAGACTTGGTTCGCAGAGATGGGAAGAATGTTTCATGCCGGGTTTTGGCAGTAAAATGAAGAAACTGTAAGCATG